ACAAAAACATTTATATTAGAAAGCAAAATGACAATGTATTGAGGAGGGAGGTTGGGGATTCTTTTATCAGCATTTGAAAATGTTTGTAAAAATTTTGTTTGATTTTTAAAGTCTAATGTGTAAAACCAAAATGTGTAAGGTATAAGTATTTTAACTGATAACATCTTAATAACCTTTGCTCTAACACTACATGGACTGTTGTTTTGAACAGAGTTACAGAAATACAGGATCAGGGTTTAAAATCAATATCTGAGAACATTAGTTTGCTCACTTTCCTATGATATTGTTTATTGGCAATATTGCCTGCTATGTTTCGACCCAATGATTGTTTTTAATACTGGGTAGATGTACATCATTCCCAAGCCGGCGGCGCGAAGCGCCGTGCGAGGGTACTAATTCTCCCCGGCTATTTACACCCGGGGAAACGAAAGCATTAGCGAAGTCTAAAGTTCATCAATGAGCGCGGGCGTCGGTCACCAACGATGGGTGATCATCCTCACTGATCTCAAAAATATTGCGGACTGTCATGAATAACGGACACTGATTGGTCCAATTTAAAGTTTGCATTATAACGACTACATGACGACAGCGAAATAGCAAATATTTCTTGATTTGATGAGTTGATGACTGGTTGATGATCGATAAATTTCGTGCAAATATTCTTCATTTTTGCTCGTATTTCTGCAAGATTTTGTAAATTTCAAGAAAGAAAGGGCGAAAGAATCAGCTAAAAGATGGGAGCCGACGTTAACGAAGGTAAGTTCGTTTTAAATATTGATTTTATAATGGCTTTAAAACCCGACGGCCTTTGCGTATATGAAACATCTAAACAAGACAGCATATAATTTCAGTGTATCTTTAATATTGATTCCCTTTTTTATTATATTGAATTTTTTAAATAAAAAATAAAGCAAAGTTATTTGCAAGCGAGAATTTGAAATAATTTTATTGCAAACTCAAAGTTTATCGATAAAGCCATTTAATAGTTAAAGGCAGTTTAGTTTTATAAAGAACACTTTGAAACGTTTTGTGAATTGTTTGTGGTTGAATTTTAATTGAAGCTTGTAAGATATATATTATTTAACTACTTCCAGATAAGGAATTCCGATGTAAACAATTGATGTAAACAGATCGCTGATTGGCTTAAATTATCATCAATTGGCTCAATTATATAAGTTCGTCGCTGAATGGCTATGTGTTAACATACGGTACGTTTGCGGCAGCAATATAGATCTTCGCAGATACAAAAAGTCTTAATGTGGTCTATACTGTATATATATTGAACACAAAGTAATGCAAATAAAGTTAGACGAAATTTAATTGGTTCTGCACCGATTTGCATTGCGAGTTGTCGTTATAAGTTGTCGCGTGTAACCTTACCGTAAGAGAAAGCCAAAGTTGGAAGCAGCTCATTTTGTCATTCCTGTAAACCCTCAACGGTATTTCCCGAAGATACGCGTCAAGGTGCAGCGAACACGTTAGTCAATCACCAAAGTGAAAAGGCTAATCCACACTTTTTGGGGGGAGGAAATGTTAATCGCTCTACAAATAAGTTGACTGCGCATCCAAATGACGCGTTCTGCGTCGGGATAAATCCCAGTTGAACTATAAATGTAGCTAAGACTGGAAGAATAAGAATATTCATACGAGAGCATTAATTCAACTGTTCATTACGTAAAAAGTTGCTCAATAAACAATTAGTTTGCACGCGATTGACTAGTTTAATTTGGAAATATAATCTTTTAAGTGTACCTTTCTCTATTTTGTTTTACACAGAAGACAAAATATACTAGTGCAAAAATGATTTAATGCCAGTTCTGTTGTAGTTATAAGTAAAACACAAATAATGAGTGAAAGGTTGGACACTTTGACATGCATATATTTGATGTTTCCAGTCTCAGCTACATGCTATGATTCAACTGAAATTCATCCAGACGCAGAACGCGTCATTTGGATGCGCAGTCGGAACT